GTGAGTTATAAGTTCAAGCATGAACTAATGTGATCTTGAACAACTCACTCGATTAAATTACTGATTGAAGAATCTTGCTGTGTTCGTACAAGAAAACATTTCTATATTTGCATTTGTTTGCTATTGCTGGTGTACAGAATGGTGAATATTTAATGTCTTTTATTAGATTCTGCGCAAAGTTACAATATCCGCGTGTTAAGACTGTGACGATCTTCGAGTTACAAAAAGACAACTTTTGGCAACATATTCCGCTCTATTGTTCACGGTTTCGGAACTTCTGTCGGAGAACGATATCTTTCCAGAACAAAAAAGATCACTTTTGCTTCCAAAATTAAAACCATCCAAAAATAATTGACGAAATTTTACGCAACGTATGGATCAATGTGCAATACCTTAATTAACACTCGACTAAATTTAATAAATGATACGCGTGCTATAAAATCAAACTTCAGAGATGATATTTCCTATGCACGAACCTAATATAACGCAGACTTAGAGTCAGACCGCATGATCTCAATCTCACGGCCTGGAACGTCGGAAATCGTGCGGAGGTCCAGTCTTTACCTAATCACGATACATCGTCGAGTATCAACGGCTAACCGGGACACGGGTTCCGTGGTGGAAACTTCGCCCACGGTCTCCGCACCGGAGGGGATACGAACAGTTTGTTCCCAGGTGAAGGTAATCATATTCCGCGTTCCACGGTAATGGTGAACGAACGCAGCCTCCGGGCTCTAACGGAACCTCTGGCACCAGGCACCCCATTTCACCGGACCTGTGGGTGCATCTACCTGCACCTTATACTCAAACCAAACTCCTATGTTGTTGCAATTATCGCGCGAACAGCTGTTATCCGGGATAGAGGAGATCATTCCTTGATCGTTATCAGCCTGTTGTTTCTAACTGCGGTTTCTAACTGTCCTCTCCGTGCCCTCTCGATCTACTTCTAAATTTCCTGGTTAGCCTCAAATTTATCTGTACTTGGGCGCCTTATCGAACCACAATTTCTATCAGCTCGATAAGAGAATTCTCCTACTTTAAAAGAGCATTTTTTGCTCTTACTATCGACTACTACTTATTATCGAATTTGAATTAGCGTAATGAATAAGCTTTTTATACGGAAGTGATATAATCTTATTGTTTGCTGTATCAGTAAATGCTGTATGTGTCAGTAAATTACAGCGAACAATATGTTACTTACGAGGAGCACGAACTTCAAAGTTTCATTTTTGAATCTTAAGAAATTATTGTAACATTAAAATCTGGCACATTCACAAGAGACCAATTATGCAGCTAACGATGCGTTATTTAGAAACAACAAAAAATGTAATGAAAGAAAATTTCAAACTCCTAATGAGGAGCTCCAGTATGGAGCTCCATTCAATAATGTTCCACATATAGTGAATGACTTCTTAAAGAACCTGATCTAGTGATCCTAATTCGAATAATTGCCCATGACTCGCTAATTCCATCAGCGTTCCTATTTAAAAAATCACTTGCTTCTCACTATTGGAACGTGATTACGCTTATTTAGTTGTCAGGTACTCATCTGTATCCGTATCGCTTCGTGAAATCGGGTTTTCGGTTGCAGCACGGCCGTATCGAGAGCGTAAGTGAAATTAGTCGCGGTTCGGCGAGTGTGGCTGCAACCGGGTCCTGCAAGAAGGAAAGTAACGCGACTCGCGACGAATGAGGGTGAATCGACGCGAATGTCGATCTTACGACGAAAGGGAAGTAGACAAGACAGTGGGGAAAAAGGGGAACGATGCTATGAAAGAGAAAGAACGATCGGCCGGTGAAACGAGGTGTGCGCTCGCATTTTCATTCACGACGTGTCATCGTGTGGGCGTGCCGTTTCTAGCCTGTTAGAGCGTAACGGCGTCTACCTTGTCGTCTGTGTTAACAAACATACGAGCACGTTTAGCTAAGAATGCGATAATAGGACAATGGGACGTGAATTCATTGAATTTCGAAGAAAATAGGCGCGAGTAGAAAGTGGCGGCCCTTTTAATTTTACGGAATTTCGGTGGCTAGCATACATATCGTTGCGACGTGTCAAACAATTCCTCCTTTTCTTTGTGTACGCGTACGCCGAAGAGTTGTAAGCATTACTGAAATAATTTGTATGATCCCTGCTTTCACGCTTCTGTCAATCGATTATTCATTGAAAATCCGATAGCCAAATTTCTACGTCAACTACAAAACTGTATAATATTAACATATTTACGATTCAACAAAATCTATAAATATTTACATATAACATTCATAAGAATCAATTATTGAGTTTCTCATAACGTTATTAAAATGTTGATGCTCATTTAGAGAAAGGTAGAGTAAAGAGTACACTGAACCACATATGGGTCAACGGACTATGCACTTGTTAAAGAAGTTCTGTCACAATACATTTGTCCAACTGTTGAATTTTCATCGACAACCACTCAATACAAACCGCAAAAGCCTAACCCCCTTCCACTTCAACACTCGACAGTGCGTCTGCATTTATTCACCGATGAATACTTCGGCAAGGGATCGAGACGCTCGTCAATGCATGTTCATACCCATTCACCGAATTCCTTGGTTCAATGGGCCGTATCCTGAATACGCAATGACACGCAGCTTTTGCCGGCTCGTGAGGAACCAGGATTTTCGCATCTAGCCTCTGACGGTTGACTCCCTCGGTCGTTCGTTGCATATGCAAGGGAAAAAAAAGATTAGAGGAAATCCATCCAGCAACGACGAGGATTCATTACGATACTTGCAAGATGTAATTTACAGCGTCGTTAACGAGCAGGCACGAGCTTAGGTGTCACGAGTCGCGTTCCTTCCTCGCTTCCATCCTTTATTTTTCTCTGTCTCGCTCGTTCGATCAACAATGAAATTCCAGCGGAGGGAGTACGTAGACGACGAGAAAAGATGAAGTCGAAGACTTAAAAAGAGAAACTACCCACGCTCTTTTATCTCGGTGGCCCTTTGTATTAAGCCGCTGTCGCAACTGGTATGCGCCGGCTTCACCAAAGTCCACCTTCTCTTCCTGTCAATTCTTCCTTTTGTTCCTTCTCTCTTGCTTCGTTCTCCCTTCGATCCCTCTCTCTTTTCCTCTTTTTTCTCTCTTTAAATGGTTAGTCCTGTGAAACGCGTTCCTAACATACGTAATTCGTTCTTCATGCCGGCTCTTATCACATTCGTCGTTCGTTGACTCCGGATGATGAAATACTGAATCTTCTCTGACCTCTTGCTAAATCTTCGCAATTAATTCGCAATGTAAATTTTTATAGATTATTCAGCTGCGATATTATCGATTTCGTATCTTTATTTTTGTATCTTTCGCAGCGCAAAGATCTGCAAAATACATCAAACGAGTTCCAATATTTCGTTAACATATTCTTCGATTCCAGTATATCGTTAAATTCTCATCTTTATCCTTGAATTTGTTAAACTTTAACCAGTTAACAGTATGTAAATTGTTCAAAACTTATGTTTTACCCAAACGTATAAATTTGATCAGACTTTTGCTGAATATTATGCGAATCTCAACAGCTCCACGACAAATTCTTCGACTTTAATACATCACCGGATCTTCATCTTTAATTTCAAATTTGATATTTTTCTCGTAAAATTTTTCCATTATCTACGTCATCTCTAACGAAATTCAAGCAATTAAAATTCATACGAAACACTGTACTACGTCATTCGGACACCCAAGTACTATATCTTCTACAATTTCTTATTTTTTTATTGAATCGATTTTGATTCCAATGCACTCCCGATTTTTCATGGTTATCCTTGAACTTGCCCTTGAATTTCACGAGAAATTCCTGCACACATCACCGTGAAAAGACAGCCGGAAATCACGCGAATCCAAACACGCATTCCCACGCACCCACATCTCGTAAATTCACGCCCCACGTACACACGTGAAAGGGACTTGGTATTTAGTAATGTGAATCGGTTTCACTGGCAACATACAAGTCGTTCCTCGTGTTCGTGAATTTTCACGTCTCGGCTGACACCGAAATACGCGTGCTTATTCATCCGTCAGCCTGATCTGCATACCACGCCGATGTATCGCGAGAACTAGCCGGTCGAAGTGCGAAGGTATGCGATTGGCTCGCTTCCAAGCACGTCCAGCTGTCACTGGACGACAGTTACACTAGAATGCCACGTGACAGGATAAATATGACCTTAACATTCAGCGGAGAAAAACGAACAATGGCTTATTACATTTTGCTGTTGGTACACGGTCGAGTTCATAAGAACGAAGAAACGCGATCGACTAATGTGCCAAGGTATAATACTTCTAACCGACGTCTGTTTACGGAAATCGCTCTTCACTGAATGCTTGAAAGAAATTGGAAGAATGACAGCATCTTCTTTATAGACATGCCGTGAAAAGAAATGTTTAAGGATGTTGAGTAATCCATTGGTTCGAACAGTAGTACACGTACACTTTTGGATTGTGTAATGCGAGAAAATAATGGTCTTTAAATATCATAAATTTGAGAAATTCATGAATGTACTAATTCTTTACTTTCTAATATTCATAGTTTTCCCTGTTTTTTTAATTCTATATTATTTACGTGTGCTTTGTGATAACTCTCTATAATTTTGAATGTAAGTTATACAATTTATGAAATAATTATTTTATGCTTATATATAGAATAAAGATTGTGGCATTTTTAGCTGTATATTTTATCAGATATATAGTAAACTTTCAAACGTAATAAATTTATATTCTAAAGAATAAAAAAAATTCAATGAAATAAAAATAATATACACAATAATAGCAATAAAAAAAGAAAAATTTCTTCGTTCGAATTAAAACAATCAAACTTTATAGAAAAATATATTCAACTTTCGTTATATATTTTCGAATTAAACTTAAGTTTCAAACTTATGCTTCGTAGTATAAAGAATATCAAAAAGAATAAGAAACGTTATTCAAGAAGTTAGACACCCGAATAGAACAGATGTAGCTAACAATACTTCTTTCGTGGTTTCAGGAAACGGAAAAAGACTGCCGACATGTCGGCCTTGAACGCCGGGCCTTGTCGACCCGGGATTATACTCTGTTTGGCTGTTCTACTGGCATCGCAATCCAATTCTGGTAAGTTTTTAAGTGAATCCACTAGGAAAATTTTTTCACAAAAGAACCCGCTCGCTCCACAAGACTTTTATCTTCCCTTTCGTCTTGCTTCAACCAACTGCATGTACACGCTCAACGCGTCGGAACGTAACTCATTTGGCGGGGAACAAGTGTACGTGAGATGACACGAAAAGGAAGTCCTCACGAGGAAGAACGCTGACTTTCTTCGATCAGACTTTCCATTCTTCACGCGTTCATTTAAAAAGATAGAATAATATCGGTAATACGCGATTATACGATTACGGTGATTTTTTGATTAAAAATTGTATTAACGTCACTATAAAAATTTTTAGATATCGTACGAAGAGCGTACAAATAGCAGTTCAGAGAATAGCTGCTTCTAAAGAAAAACATTACAGTTGCACTATATTTGGATCATAATGAGTTAAAACAATTCAATAAATAATTGTTACTTATTATTTACGTTACAATTAATTATATAAAAAATAGTAATAAAGGTAGTATTAATATAAAATTAAAAAAATACTATCCGACAAAGCGATGTATCCAGATAACCAAACTAAACACCTTCTGATAAATTTTCAAAGCACATCGGATAAATAACATTGTCGAAAAATAACAAGATACAAAAGAAAAGTTTCTCACGGTTGAATTTTGCCCGACATTCAACTTACACAAACACGCAAGGATAGAATTAATTCTTCGTCGACCATCAGCCCGATCGAATCTCTCCTTAATCTTCTTTTTCCAAACCACCGCTATGACTAACCCAACCAGGCAATCTCTGAATGAACAAGCCAGGCTCCGCCAGGACATCGAACCTATCTTTGTCCTCCCTTTCCCTTCGAGGAGAGAATAGTCTTACCTCATAATGCTCACCTCTGGCATCAAGCAAGTCGAGGGCCCCAGGGTGCTTTCCCATGGACCTGGCACACCATATTCGTTCTTCGACGGCACTCGGGTCGTCCCAGTGCGGCCACTCTTCTCCATCACAAGAGCCATGCTTTCTTCGGGGATATCGTATACGTTCTCTTCCGTTTACGTCGAGCCGGTTTCGAATTACGTATATACGCAGACTATCTCTGACCGCGCCTGCTATTCACGTTCAACGATAGATCGAACGTGGTCGACTGACAGATTCGATCGGGGACCGATTAGTCATCTCTGCCTTGTGGCCATGATGCCGTTGCTGCATCAGAAATCATTCCAAAAGGCAAGCAGGCAGAGACCACTTTCACCTGCATCAGGGTTACGTCACGTGAAACTCAAGGTCAAGTTCGTGGGAAAATACACAGTGTTACGTCGGTAAATTTATCTACTTCATTTGGCCCTGTACCAATGTTGAATTAAAATTGGTTCAGATTAATGATTGGAGAAATAAATCGATTTTATTTGCTATCTTTTTTCGTTATTCGCGTACTCATGCTAAATCTATAGAGGCCTGTTTCAATGAACGATCAAATGCTGACAATCTGGTTTTGACAATCTTCGTATCTCTTAGTTTGCTAGATTACTCGTTTCGCTGATACTCCAGATCAATCACTACATTTTTTTAGAGGTCATTGTTGGGTGATTACCTAGTCATCAATAAGATAGGCAATATACTCAAGATTCTTACGAAAGACAAGTTTATAAACGCATGTGCGTGTACTAACTTTCTCAAAATTAGTCTAAGATCATACAACCGAGTTAATTACGCTGTGTTCAAGAGCTAGACAGCTAAGATCACAATCTCGTCGACTAAAACACAAAATCCGTGGTAAGAAAGTCAGTAAAGAGAGTACTCTAAGAGCTGTTAATCCTCGAAATTATACCCGGACAAAATTATTACATAATTGAATTATGTATGTTCTATACTATTATATCCAACACTATTACAAAGAGAGATATAAACTCGAACCTGTAATATCTGTGTGCGTCAGAATCTTCTATTTCTTCCGTGTTTGATCAATTTTAATTTCACTGACAAACAACTATCGGAATACAGAATTAACATTCGTCACTTCCTGAATTGGATCTCTGTTACGTCGATTTTCATTCTGTGCATTCAACTACCTTAATAGACACCTGTATCGAATTCTAATCAAGCGCATCGCACTTGATTCAGAATTTCTATTAACCTTCTCACAAGGGTTGTTGCAACATCTGATCAATCGATACATCTTCCGGTTTCACTCGAACGGTAAAAACGGATGGTAAAAAAATACGAACAACCGCGATCACTTGCTGGATCTTAGTCATCCTTCCCGCGATCCATCAACGCCACGATTCAGCATCGATCCTGTTTCCCGTCGCAACGCGTAGCCATCGGGAATCATTCTCGGAACAGCGTGTTACTTCGAACGCAGCGACGTGCAAAAACGTTGCATCGTCAATGAGAACTCATTAGAGATGCAACGTTTTTGCCTCGAACCTGCCACTCCTCCACCCCACCGACAATTGGCTGGTTCGACGAACAGCAGGTGTGGACAAATGGTCGTGGGGAGCGATTGAATTCCCCACGACTCCGTACATTTCTCTCTCTCTCTCTCTCTCTCTCTCTTTCTCTCCCTCTGTTTCTCTTTCCTCTCGCGATTCTTCCTTTTTTCAACTAGATCACTGGGTGATACTGTCCCTCGTGCGCACCTATCGTCGCCGTTTTTGCCACAGCTTCCCTTTCGAGCGAGCGAGCATCCATCGAGATCGACGCGTTCTTCGATCCGATTCGATCCAACCAGCCGACGTGGTTTTCTTCCATTAAATCGGCGCGTTTGAGGGGCGTTTGCGGGGCGTTTGCATTCGAGAAAAAGGTCGATATTCTCGACGTATCGCCATCACCATGAAACGTCCCTTTGACAAAAAGCCACGAGTTTCGTTAACTCCTGGTTGGCCTCGGATATTCAAAGAAATCTTCTTGTCTTTCCATTCCGAACGACAATTTCGTTGAAATTATCCCCATCCTCGAGGGATTCGCCTCGATCGTTTCAAAACGAGACCGCGTGGAAAGACATTTTGTACGTATCTCGAGTAGCAAATAAGAAAAAGTTTGAATTCAATGAACCGAATCCAGTTCCCAGTGTAATTCATCGACCGCACGAGTAAGCCGTGATCATCGATCCTCGATCGATTCGACGTCTCTGATTGACGACGCGTTGGACGAGCGAGCTCGAAAAAAGTTGACAGGAAAGTGATATCCGTGTCGTAACCGGGAACGAGATTTCGAAATCCTCGCGGAAACGATCTGTGGAACGTGGAGGAGGGAAGAAGAGAAAAATGCGTGTCGTTGCTACACAGCTGCACGAATAGCGGTTCCTGTACTTGCCTGCATTCACGTGATGCTGTGAATTCTGGTCAAACCTGTAGGTCCCGAAGAGATGGCTTCACGGATGTCACTGACCGCGTACCTCACCACGTTGCCCACTTACGGTCCATGTCGCCGCACCTGACCCTCGTTCCATATTTATGCCTTAATGCCGGCCAAAGTGTCGTTATCTTCGAGTATCACTCAACCGTCGGACCATGCACGACTTCTCTTCGACAGCTCTCGAACCATTCGTCCGACGTTTCCTGAAAATATTATCGAATAATTTAGTTGCTTCAGCGAATGCGACGTCATTCTTGGAATGTCTGTTACGTGAAAGAGTTATCTCATCGTAATGTTAGCGTAATTGCTCGATTTTTTAGTTTGCTAGATTTTTTAGATTTATTCAGTTCTATCGATAAATAGAAAATTTCTTGGTTATGGTTTTGTTAAGTTTGGTAGTTAACTTGTAATAGGGATGAGATAAGTTAGAAGGATAGAAGAAATTGAACCACAATTTGGTATTAAAAGAAATCTCAAGGTTTCTTTCGTTTAACTCCCACGGTAACAAAGAGATAACTGTGAACGACTACGGAATTAACAAGGGGAATGCAAAATCTTCAAACTTTACACATTACTAGATTTCCATTCTATTTATAAAAATACTGCATTGTAAGGATAGATAATTAATATACTTCATGTTTGTATTATTTTTAATTTTATTATTCACTCCTGTAATAAATAATCGAAGTTATTATTTTCGTTCCGTTGAGTTACTTAAACTCATAATTCAGTCTCGGAGTGCGACAGATAAAAATGAAATTTACTTAACATCGATTCATCTGTACAAACGTCTAACAGTAATAACTTTCCGGCTAATAATAACAAAATCGATTTTACATCCTTGCCGTTGGACACGGATATCTTTAATTAAAATCAGAGTAATTTCAAGACTCTTGGTCTTGGTCGTGTACATTTGCCAGATAAATAACACGCCGGTATCAAACATGCTCGGGCAAACACATTCGGTTTATTTGCCTCCTGAGGAGGGTCTCGGCGCCTGTTTGAGGATACATCTATCTTTCCTCGTTATCGCGGTAATTAATTGCTACCCTACTGGCTAGCAGCAAGTATTCGAATCTTAAACGCGATTCGAAATACCGAGAGAAAAGGAAAAGGTTCCGAGGTTGTTCACGCGTTTCGAACGGCGAATTCGAACGTCACTTAAAATTCGGGACGTGTAAAAGAGCGGTAAAGTAAACGTAGCGGTCAACCGTCATTAACAAGAGTACACGCACGCTGCGCTTGTACAAACACTCCTGCATAATTAGCTGGTTTTCCAAACGCCTTATTTTTCTTCTGGTACACGAGGGTTACATAATTCTTGTCGAGAATTCGTTGCCCCGGTAAAGAAAAGGGCATCGATCTGAATTAACCGTAGAAAGACCAGTCAAGGTATGTTGACCTATTAACGTTGGGATTTCTTCGGAATAACCACAACAATTAATCATTTTATTATAGAAATTTCAGTTGATTCACAACGGTGCATGTTTTAGGATTCCAATTCCCATAAAATAAAAAGTTAAAAGCATTTATATGTTGTATCTGGTAGCAGAGGTGCGAGGAATCTTGACGATAAAGTACCGCTCATAGTAAATTCTTCATTTTATTACACTGTTAAAAAGCCAACAACTGAGTGATTCTCACGAAGCTGAGTGAT